CAACCGACAGAATTAGTCGTCCGTTATATTCCACTGATGAATGAATGTTATGTCCTTTTGGTCACCTGTTAGTGGGGGTAGGCAGTGGCGTAGCTAGGGTGGTGCGGGTGGTGGTAGGGGTGCGGACCGCACCGGGTGACACCAACACTAGCTACGCCACTGGGGGTAAGAACAGTTTTTGACGCCCGAGGTGGTTCTTGAGTTTACCTCCTGTCACTCACGAGAATTTTAAAAACTTTATAGAATACAGTTCAAAACACTTCAAACATAATACATGATGATATATCGACAAACATTTTTCTTTTCGTTGAAATGGACTGGAATGAATGCTCCCCAGATTGTGACGCCTTAGGCGGACAGCCCACTCCACCCCCTTTTCTAGCACCAGTGCCTGTATCTAAACTTGTGTTTAACACCCCAATCATAGGTGTGTCATAGTATGATGAGTGCGCAATATTTCACAAATACCCCCTAAAGGCGTTCAGTAAATCATAGTATAAACATAACAACTTGAGAGACAATGAGTATTTAGTACTCCGTTGAAGACTGTCAGTTCATTTTTTCAAATCCACTTACATTATTAGGCAATGACAATTCTGATGGCGCTCTTTAACCTATAAAACAAACGAGATGTTTTTTTTCTTTAACTTAAGGCCGATTAGCCTAGTTTAAAACACTGTATGTTAGAATTAAAAGCATCTCTTTGTTTTATTTGTTTTCAAATTAGGCTTTAGCATGAATATGACACTAGTATAATTATTTAAAAGTGTAATCGTACCTTATTTAAGCAATATTTAGGTCAAAGAATATGTGTCAACTTAAATATTCCATTCAGCTTTGGACAAGCAAAGCTATAATTACTTCTGTAACTAACACACACCATTCAAAGTATGGGCGCAGAATGGGGTCTGGTAAAAAAAAAGGGGGGGGGGGTGGCGGGGGTGGACAACGTTTGCTATCACTAATAGGCCTTATCTTATCCTCACCTCGACGGAAACCCCTGCAACATTCCTGGATTGGTATCCGCTCTATAACGCCACAGGCTCACCTGTCGGTGTCAGTCTTTCACTACTACAGTAGTCATTATTGTGGGTGTCTTTGTTCTGTGTAGTGTTGGCTATTTAAACGCTTAACCTTCTGTCTTAAAGGATTCAAACTGGTTATCACATCAATCAGGCTTACGTAGCAAGCGCCTTTAAAAAAAAAAAATAATAAACACTGTGTCCGGAACAAAAAAAGTGAACTCTTTTTAAAATGATGGAAACAAATGGTATATATTTATCAATTTTTAAAAAAACTCATTTTAATTCTACCATAATGGTTAAATTAAAATATTGTTTGTATTCCAAGTGTCCACTATTAGAGCTTCAACACAGGCTTCAAGACGTGGTCTTCTTTGACCTATCATTATCAAAAGGGTTTCTTGTTCCGGCGTTTAAGTTTAAATCCATAGGCTGTGGCATAGCACACATTTTTCACAAGACTAGAACAAACGTGCTTGTTAAAAGGGGAATAAGGAATGCGACCGATTCCTTAGAAGCTAGCAAGGATGACTAGAGGCACTGACGTAAGAAGAACATTCAGTACTTCTCTAGCGGTAGAGGCAATGTGTCTTCACAACGACTTGATCGTGAAGGGTTCTCTAAATAGATCCGCCCGAGGTTCACCTCAAGAGAGTGTTTCTGGGGTTGCCTCCTTCGTGGAGCTCTCTACCGCCACCACGGCAATTACCACCACCCCCCCCCACCACCATCACCCACCCACCACGCCAAATTGCCCTATCCATGACGTCTGTAATTTTAATTGTTCCATGAATGCTTCAGACTTCAGACGCCATCTTCGTCTTCCTACGACTTATAAATTATAAATCACGGTAGTATGTCGTAGATTCTTGTCTCTAATTTGGTTGCAAATGCTTTATTAAAATACAGAGTACTCCAAGCAACAATGTCACTAACGCCACCAGATGGTGCTGCTTTCAGTTAATAAAATTCCCGATAACAGCACTAAATGAGATTCTTAAATACACCGCGAGTGCGTTTGGTGCGTAATATTTTCTTTTGTTTCACGGAAATAGTCTCAATTTATATTTGGCGCATAAATCTGCGAAGTAAACGGTGGTGGGTCATTACAATATTAGAATAGTTTAGGGGCGGTGGCATAAGGGAAGGGGAGCACTGTTTTGGAATATCATTATATGCGTAACTTAAATGCATTTTTTGTCAAGTAACTTTAGTAGATGTGAAATTCACGCATTGCGGCAGACCTTGTTAATTAGGCGAACTATATACTATAAATTATAAAATATATACCAGCAGAGTTCATTTTACAGATGACATCTAAAAATGAATGATCTGTTACACTATATTTAAAATATATTAATTAGGCTTATTTTCTAATATACACATCTGAGCTCATTATCTTTGCTTGCATTAAACATTTAATATTTATTGGAGTTCTAAGAAATAGTAATAAAATGAATAACATGGAGTAGCTTGTCCGGATTTACTATAATTATCTCCCATTTTCTCAGACGTGGCGCATTGATCAGGTGCCAGGCAGCGGTGTAGCCAGGGTTAGTGCCACTTGGGGCGGGTCAAGATTTTTGCCTACCCCTTCCAAAAAAAAACAACAAAAAAAACTCAGCATTTGGTCGAAAATGCCACCCCTCCCTATCAAGAAGTGCCCCCAGGATGGAGCACCCCCCTTCCACACCCCCCGTCCTATGCCACTGGGCCTAAGGGTACGTGGTAGGTAGACCCGCCTACGACCACAAATGTTTATTCCACTGTCTTTATTAAATATTTTTAATAACGCCTTTCCCTAAAGTGCTGAAAGCAAAGTACTCTCGCACTAAGCTGACATTAGACAGGCACGTCAGGCTGCCGACAGAGTGAGTTTAATTCTGCATCTGGCAATTAATGGCTCCGACGTCTTCTTCTCTGTGGCCAAGCTAATGTATACGTAATTAGAAACACATGAAGAAAATCCTAACGTAATCAACCGATTTCAAACCACTGGACGAGCGTGTAGAATTGTTCAACGCAAAAAACGTGGAGTTGTAGGCAATCATCAGATTGAGTTCAGTCAGAATCGGATCCTTGATGAATGACAGGAGGGTGCGCCCTGATAGAATTGCGGGCATGCCATAATTTTAAGGGTTCAAACCGGGGCCTATTGTGGTAAGTATCACGAGTTGCAAACCTACAATAGGGGAGTGAAGAGGATGACGAGCCCGCGTGGCCTTTTATAAAATAAAATAATAATTTCACCAACATTGCACAACTGATGTGTGTGTGTTTGGGGAGGGGGGGGTTGCAGTTTTGGAGTTTGATACAGGTGGCATTTCGTCAAGGTACGCCACAGGGTAGCACACACAAGACCTGACAACCCACCACCTGTTTTTTAACAGCGGGGGGGGGGGGGGGAAGGGGGGGGAGAGAAAGAATATTCATTACTCTTTTTTTTCTCACTTGAATCTACTTTATTAGAAATGTCTTTTTTTTCTGAAATTTATGAATGACTTAGAAATGGAGGGGGGGGGGGGGTGGAAGGGGGGGGAGAGAAAGAATATTCATTACTCTTTTTTTTCTCACTTGAATCTACTTTATTAGAAATGTCTTTTTTGTCTGAAATTTATGAATGACTTAGAAATGGCGAATTCATTATAGTCATGAGAAGTTTTGAATGAAAAAATCTACCATATTATAGAGGGGTCACTGGGTGTCCACTGGTAGGGTAAACAGATAGTGTCACCCCTCCTTTGTTTCAGGATCGACTATCCCCCACCCCCCAATAAAAATCAAAATAAGACATAGGAAATATAAACATAAAATTTGAGATGGCAGCGTTTAAAAAAATGCATCAAAATTACTTTTTATTGAAACATAAATTTTAACAGTTATAACTTTACTTTCCACTCTGAAAAACAAAGATGTTGTATGACTGACAACAAACAATGTTATACACATGTTTACGTTTGTATTGCTGCAAATAAATCTTATTTATGACCAAATGTATTGTTATCATACAGATTATTTATTTATAGAAGTATGAGATCTGACAAATGCTTTGCATTACTGTTTTATGCTCGCATCGATCGTGATCTTGAACAGTGGAATGAAATTAACGATGCCGCTGCGTACATGTCTTTGCCAAATTTCCGTTCGATCAAATTACCGTCGATCATTTTACCGTTGAAGAAATTTCTTTCGATCAAATTTCCAGATACGTGCTCTTATTCTGATGACAGCCTGCTATGGTGAAACCTGAACTAGGGACACAATGCTCTGTGGCACCCTGCTCTGTTGGAACCCTTTACTAATGGAACCCTGTTCTAAAGGCACCATTTCCTGATGGCACCCTGTCCTTCCATTTACTGTGTTCTGAGCGAAAGTCTGTCAAATTTCAATTTCCACACGAGTTTGTCACCCGTTCTGTAGCAACACACTCTCTGATGACGCCCTTGGTATAAGTATGTTCTACCATAAACATGAAAAATTAATGTCTTCCAAGCTAGGATTGAAATCGGGACAACATTCAAAACCGACCGGGACATACTTGCTGAAACCGGGACGATCCCGGTCAAACTAGGACGAACGTAATGCATATAAATAATAGAAATTGCAGTGTAAACTCGTGAGCTATACCACTGTGCTGGTACTGTTGTCAGCAGGAATTGTTTTAGAAAGGGTTGTCCTCAGTTTTATCTTTTAAAAAAAGAAAAACAACTTTTATCCATTGTGGCTATCAAATGTACAGGGGAAAAAAAATGAGTTATTTTCCCTTTCTTAAAATGGCGAAACATTCATGTGTGGTCACACCTGCGAAACAGACTGGTACCCACACACACCCCTTCGGAGCCGCCACTGAATCTGAGCGCGTATCACGTTCGCTCACAATTTCACGACATCTCTATCCCGCCCCCCCCCCCCCCCCCCCACCCCCCCCACCCCCACCGCCCCCCACACACACATTCAGCTACGCTTTTGGGGTTGGAGGGTGTAGAAAAGCCCGTTATCGCTCGGGTGTAGCTAGTATGTTTTTTGGTGGGTTTTTTTTTTGGACCTGAGAGTAATCTATCCTTCCCCATTGTTACCTGCCTGTCCGCGTTTCCAGTCAATCAGGGCTCTTGGCAATCACCGCGCGGCCACGTCTCAAGAAGAAACAAGTGGTCGAGAGTAGGAGCGGGGTCCGTGATGACATAAAACTTCTCTCGGCATTATCTCCAGCGGTGATTTCGTTCTCTTTCAGGAGCGTTGTGTTTTATGACTGCGTCCGGATGTGTTGCTGATACAGTGGCGAGGCAGTTTTTGGTTGTCTGCAGTAAGCCCCATGCCCAAGTCGTTGGTAGCGGTGGTAATGCAAGATTTATAGTTTTACCTGAGCCAGGTGGGGCCCTATAAACCGAATACAAACTGTAAGACGTGGAGCTGACTCTAGCAGTAGGATGTCGTGTTCTTGGCTGTTCGTCCTTCTGTTATTCATTTGTGCTGAATACCTAGTTGTTCACTGTAAGTAGATTTGAAATGTTGTTAAATGTTTATTTGAATGCTCAAAATATGGTCGTCTGATTAAAAATAAATAACCTTTTAACAGCTATTTTAATATGAGCACGAAGAACAGATCAAGATCGAAAAACTACTTAACCGATAAACTTGCTTACTGCAGAGCAGCAACTCTTAACTATTTGTAGAGGTTTCTGTACGCAGTTATTGCTTGGTTGGTCCGCTAGATATTCGGGTAGGCTTAAAATGAATTGCGAATAATAGTTTTTACATTTTTTGCAATATTTCGTAATGCCTTTGCGAAATTGTGAGAAGCACACTTTTGGGAACCACTGTGCTACATTCTTACCGTAAAGTCATATACGCATTTAAAGTTAAAGTCGAAATTAAGTTCGTTCGTACAATCTATTCAATTATGCGAGTCTAAAACTGCACACTGAGATCTGCACACTTTCTATTCTCCCCTTCCTATCTGTATTTACATTTATANTATATATATTAAATACATTTTTAAATTCTTTTTTTTTTCTTCTCTGAAGCAAATTAGCAATCACTGTTCAAGTTGATTTTTTTTATTTTAAATTCGAGTTTAGTAGAGAACTAAACAAATACTGGCACTATCAAATTGGCAAAAATAAACAAAGTGTGTGTAATTTAAAATAATTAATTGTAAGGGGAGCTAACTCGCCAGAAGACTCTGAGGCCTACATAACATAAGGGTGGGCCGATGGGCGAATTGAAGGATTTAATCGGCCTAGACTATTTGGATGAATCGGCCCGGGCTCCTGGAACTTTTGACCATTGATGGTGAAAGTTTTAACAGGTCCGGGTCTCGGTAAAGGCCAAGTTATACTAAAATAAATATATTTAATTTTTTTTTTTTTGCAATCATACTATAATTATAGAAAAGAACAAAATTGTCTCTAAAATAAGGCCTCGGTTTAAAAAGCTATTGGCCCATCATGCGATGCCTGATCCTCCCCTGGGTGGCCCCTTACATCATTTTAATTACCCCGCAATTTTTGCAATAAAACTAACTAGCAGCTAGATCCATCTGTTTAGTTTGGTCGTGTTCTCTTAATGGACAAATTTGTGACATAGTTATGTCGTAAACATTTGATAAGGTGAAAAATGTCACAGCTACACAATGATAAGACCCCAAAACTGTAATTATATCAATCATTGCACTGTCGGTGTGAAACGTGTCTAATAATATACCTAACCTGATTGCAGTCTCTCTCCCCCCCCCCTCTTCTTATTAACACGTATTAAAAATATGTTTATTTTAAATCCTCGCCCCACTTCGCTCTACTGAGATGTTTCGACAATGCTCAATAAGATAACAGATTTAAGAGTCTCGGTCATTGACATTCCTAAAGCTTTGCAAAAATCTTGCTCTAGAAATATATTGCATGTTTATGGTGATCTACAAATAATAGAAATAGAAACAGGATACGCTACATTTTTTCTAGAAAATACCATCGATTGGTCTTACGGTGATAAATGTTATTATTATAGTTAATTGTATCCTTTAAACAAACATTGGAGTAAAGGACTGGTTGGGTGTCTAGTTCGGTAAACACACACACACACTTAAGAGTTTGAGGAACTGTTTCAAGGGTGTGTGGACATGTACTGCGCAGTTTTTTGGGTGCCTGGAGTAAGCAGTCCTGAGGATGTTGGGACCGTAGAGACGTGCTATCCTATTCCTGCAGGGGCCCGCGCTGTGTGCGTCTTTGTACCTGTATATACTGGAAAACTATGCAGCAGTCTGTATAGACCTAGGTGTGCGTGTGTATATATTGGAAAACGATGCACCATTCTGTATAGACCTAGATGTGCGTGTGTATATATTGGAAAATGATGCACCAGTCTGTATAGACCCAGGTGTACGTTTGTATATATTTTAAAACGATGCACCATTCTGTATAGACCTAGATGTGCGTGTGTATATATTGGAAAACGATGCACCAGTCTGTATAGACCTAGATGTGCGTGTGCATATATTGGAAAACGATGCACCAGTCTGTATAGACCCAGGTGTACGTTTGTATATATTTTAAAATGATGCACCATTCTGTATAGACCTAGATGTGCGTGTGTATATATTGGAAAACGATGCACCAGTCTGTATAGACCTAGGTGTGCGTGTGTATATATTGGAAAACGATGCACCATTCTGTATAGACCTAGATGTGCGTGTGTATATATTGGAAAACGATGCACCAGTCTGTATAGACCTAGATTTCAAGAGCAATATTCTTAGATCAGCGTATTCTGCCTCATTTAAAAGTGTCCACTGAAATCTACAATAATGTGTTGTTGTTTTTTTTACAGACAACCAAAATGTATGCATAAGTTAGGGCATAGGTTGTTGGAACTAATGATGCTTATGTACGTGTAAATGTTATATTTATTTATTTATTGCAACTGTATTTTTTTTTCAAATAATCTTTTTTATTATTTTAAATGATATTTTTAACATAAACTTGCAACAGGTGCCGCGAGAGAACGTGGTAAAAAAGGCTGCCCTGAATTAAAAAAATGCTTGGAGCCATTCCCAATGTTGGTGGATTTATTGGAGAAAGACAAGTCGGGGGCCCTGGCGACCTTGACCTATGGTGTTCTGTTGGACAGCGTTTGCAGGTGTGTAATGGTGTCTTTGTTTTTTAATCAATTAAAATATTTGTATAATACAATGCTTAAACTTGTCTTGCAAAAAAGACCTTCTATTATAAAGATCTAACTAGCAACTGACAATGTACATTAGGAAATGGCGTCAGCGAGGTGTCGAGCTAGTACGTTAGCTTTTTATACCCTCCCTAAAGCACCCCATCCCCCCCTCCCCCCAGATATCGGGCCGCGAAGCGGCACGTTAGAGATCTTACCATAATTTTTTACCTTTAGTATGTGCACGTTGATCATAGTGAGTGTTCTGAAATAATGAAGACCAACACTGTAGTGGTGTTACTATTGCGGTTCCGCCCATGATGTCGAACGATCCAGAAAAGAATTTGAGCTTATGCTCATCCTCTTCTAGAAGGGCAACGTCTTCACACTCGCCTGTGGCGGACCAAGCTGGCAATCTGAAAAGAGTTCGGCTTAAGGGACTGACAGTTCGAAGGTGCTATAAAAAAATATAATTGATTTGAATGTAAGCAAATAATTATCTAATTACGAAATTACGAATAGGATATTTTCAAAATGGAATGTAAATGATTGTAGTTGGACATTTATTTTTGTTGTTTTTTGTTTGTTTGTTTGTTCTTGTCCTTTTTAATTAATTATATCGATATCAGTTTACATTTTCGAATTTTATTATACTGTTGATATAATTTATTTATCAAGGAGCTTAGTTTTCTATAGAATAAGCTCCAGGTCCTCAACCACTTCAAATAATTTGGCACTGCTGGCAGTAGAAGAGAAAAAAACTGATTATTCACAAAGCAAATGAAAACTGAAAGCATCCATAGTGCATTAGTCCTGTGTGATCGGGGAGGGTGGGCACAGTCCTTATGTATAGGCCTACACAAAATCGTTGCAGTGAGCTATTGTCTGACCATGAACAATGCATGCATTCACAGAAGAACGCTACCGTGGAATAACTATTGGTCGGCTCAATATTTTTTTTTTTAAATCTCACGCCACAGGGGGGGGGGGTGCCCAAAAAAAAAAAAAAAAAAAAAAAAAAAAGAGGTAGCTTTCTTTCCCAACATATTTATGTTTCATGTATGTTATTTTAACAAATCACATGTAGGCCTTGTTTAATTTTTAACGATTTCTGCTGAAATGCTGCTTACACAATACATTTTTAGACTATTTCTTCACGTCACCCGGTGCGGTTGAGCCCATTCTCATTCTCCTAGTGACGCAACTGCAGCATAAATATGGATTAGTTTTGTATGAACGCATCCGTCACTACAACTAAAGGTGAAACAGACATTGTAAAGGTTGCCCCGATTAGAACACCAAGAAAGCCTTGACTAATACTTATAACATCAGGCTTAATGGGATGCCAAGCGCTCGAGAGACGTAATATTATGACCATTATGACCATTAAAAATATAATAAATTTTGCTTCATATTGACGGGAGAGGTTCTTAAAGCTTCAAGTGAAATTCAATTACCCTGCACAAGGCAGCAGTGGAAGCGAATTTTTTTAAATAAAATGTGTCTTATTTCCCAAGAGCATTTTTTAAGCTTTTGATTTCCACATCTCACCTATAAAAAAACATAAAATAAATGAGTTAAAAATATGTAAGTGTAAGAATTAGCGAATATAGATTTTATTGACATTGATCAAACCCTATTCTCCCAGCAAACAGGCAGCTCTTAAGTTGTGCCTGACAACGTCGCCGTGCCACTCCTTCAAACAGACCTACGTTGGTCTAGCTGTGAACGACACATTGGAGTACATCTGTGGAGAGGGGCGAGATGGTGAGAGCAATGAACACTATAATGAATCTGTTTGTTTTGTTTTTTTTACCTGTGTCGTTAAGTTACATCTGTCATTAATAGCAGACACTTTGCACTATTTTAGATTGAAATCAGCGCCTCTTCATAAATCGAAGCTGTTCCGGGTTAATGACTTTATAAACTTGTATAACTCAATTTTTTTTTTTTTTAATGTTGAAATCAATGGGTCTTCACAAATGTAAGTTATTCGATGCTTCTTTATTTGAGAATAAAATGTTACTTTTTAATTTGTTAAATCCAGAGTGAAAAGAAGATGAAAGATTCCAATATTATTGGCATCTTTTATTTGTAAGTCCTTTTATGTATGAGTGACAAGTCATTGTAGTGCCCAGCGTATCAGTATCACCTGCAATGTTCCCTTTAAGCTGCGTGGCTGCGCGGCCGCGCAGCTATCTCAGACGCCGCGCAGCAGTTTTGAGTATCCGCCCAGCAAATTTTCATGTAAGTGTGTGTTTGTGGGCTGTAAAATTTTGCACACACTAAAAAATTGATGCTGTAAAACTTTTCACACAACTGTATGATTTTGCACACGAACCAGAAAACCTTAGAGGGAACATTGATCACCTGCATAAGTACGTCTTTATGTGACGTACGGCTAAATCATATCAATAATGTAACTTGTGTTTCTGGCTAGCTCTGCTGTCAGAGGCTGGCTGCTATTCCCGTGATGACTTCGAGTGGGGGACCTACCAATGCTCAAGAACGATGAGACTCGAGACGGACATTGCAACGCTGCAGGACCAGGCAGGAAAGGCGGACAAAACCAGGTTCTGCAGGTATAGGATTGCATCCTGTGTGTTAGTTGAGTTGTCTCAAATTTGAGGCTCGAATGACCTTCAGGTCCTAAACAGAATTCACCTTAAAAAACAATTGTAAAATACCGTGTGTATTTTAGAAAGCGCGTGTCGTACTGGTTTTATTGAAATCAATGGCGTAACGAGGCATTGTGCGGCCCGGGACGTTGAGTTTGCCCCCCCCCCCATAAACACTGTATGCATACATATATATATATATATATATATATATATATATATTGTGCTTTTTGTCACTGTGAAACCTGATAATAAACTTTGAAATATCGCTGTCCCTAGCATGTGAGCTAAATCGCAACAAAAAGGAATTATTATTTTTTTTAATGGATGGGGTGTGTATAATGAATCGTGGGGAGGATATAAAAAAAAAAAAATCCAGGAAACCGAAAGCTCCCGAGCAAAAATTATTGAACCCTCCCCCAAAAAAATGTAATAAATTAAATACACATGGATTTATTTTGGCGCATAACTGAATTTATTTCTGAAGCAATATACACTTACTTTCTTCATTAGTTTATATAGATATAAATTTATATGCTTTTTAAAGGGGCCGATGCGACGTACCGGGGCCTACCGCTTCAAAAAGCAATTACTATATATTACTGTTGCCCGGTGCTTGGAGTGAATTTTGGCTCTGTGTTATTTTAGGATCAGGGTCGAATGGCAACAGAAGACGTTTGTCAATTATGGCTTTTAATTATTTATTTTTTTATTAACAAATCCATAAATTGCAAACATTGAGAGTGTTTTTGGTTCCAAGGTTGATTTCATCTTTTTTATTACTGTCATCGTACTACATGTTCAATCCTTTATCCCACCTAAGTTAAGGGGCCTCACAGGGCCGGCGCTAGGGGATGTCGAAGTGGGCGACCTCCCAAGACCCCACGTTTGCGGGGCCCCGCGCGTTGCCGTAGTATATTTATAATATACCTAAGCCTACTGACTACTAATAGTTCCTAATCCGGTCAACACAATATTCGGAGTTATTAGATAGTCCAATGGTCTGAAGGTCAGTCTGGCTCCCATACTATCCCTTCGAGATGAATCTAGTGAAGCCATCTTTGCGCATGTTAAGCAGATGAAAGGGGATTATCAAGGAATTTTATACTGTTATAGGAAAAAATTGAAATTTCGGAAACTAAGCGAGTGAACAAATATCCATTATGACGCGTCCTATTATGACCAGCAAGGCCCCAGTACGATTATAACGTGTCTTAATATCCTATCAGCGGAATATATATCGTCAACGGCCCCGCAAAATTCAATTTGCCCAATGCCCCGCACCCTCCTAGCCTAGCGCCGGCCTTGAGCCTTAGAGAGGTACCCTAAAATAAAACTATAATTTGAAAGAGATTCATTGACTATCAATGCTATCATGTTATTATTTTAGTGTAGTGTAATATTGTTATTTATAGCACCTGACCTTTAATAAACGATTTGTAGTTGCTACACAGTAGATGATTGCGTGTTTAATTTTTAATTGTCTCAAAAGTAAATATGTCCCTGAGGGCAAGCTAACTAGAAATAGAAACCTAACCAAGACGTGTTCATTTGTTTTCTAATAACTCTAATGCCATCCTGCGTACGTCAGGGGTTCTTTATATTATACTTTCACTAATAGGAACTGCTGAGCCATTGAGTCGCAATACCGACAAGCCTCGCCCCGCTCCTCCCCACTTTGCACCCTGACAGTTTCAAGAGCTTAAAATTAAAATAAGATCATAGCCCACTGGTTCTTAACCTTGTTGGAGGTACGAACCCCCACCAGTTTCACATGCGCATTCACCGAACCCTTCTTAATAGGAAACATAAAATATGATTTTTTTTCTGGACCTCCGCCGAACCCCCGAGACTGACTCACGGGAACCCCTGGGGTTCGATCGAACCCAGGTTACGAACCATTGTCATAGCCTAATAATGCATGGCTAATATAGTAATAAATTTTAAGTATAGCCTTTTAGTAAAAAAAATAATAAAAGGATAGAAGCACCGATGCTAAAAAAAAAAAAAATTAAAGAAAGGTGTCCTTCGATATTTTTAAATGAACATAGAATTAGAATACCTTCGTAGAATTTTTGCTCTAGTTGCTTTTTTAATCCAATGCCATTGGAAAAAAACAAAACTTTCACCACTTTTAGACACTGCAATGATCAATACGGTATTTCAAAAGAAAATATAATTTTAATGTTATTCTGTTCTACGTGCAGATATCCCTATAGAAATAAAATGTCTAAGTCTAATTACTTCGATGTATTAGTATAACCATGGTACTAATGAGTAATTTAATAAGTTCTTTTGTTATCCATTGGTTGGACTTGGGGGGGATATCTGGTGAGTGAGGAGGCTAACTTAGTAAATGAATCTTCTATTTCTATTGGGCTCTACCAGTTTCCCAACCTGGGGTGTGAGGTGGCATTTCACTTTATTTTATGTTTTGAGGCTTACCTGGTGCCTCCAATGGAAGCTTTTTGATTTTTATCTAGGTATTTACTACTTTTTGTCACTGAACACTGAAGAAGGCTTCGACTAGTTTGACACGTACGTTGATTTGTGTGCTTTTCCTGTTTTCTCATACTTTGTATTTCTTTCTACTTAATCTTATTTCAGTCTCTTCCTTTACCATTCAATTTCCATGTACCAGTATTTAAAGGCAGGTATGGTATATAAGCAATTAAATTAATATTGCAACACGTGCACTTTTTTTTTTCCCCAGAGTATTTGACAACTTGCTTAAGTGCATTCATGTTAACGTGGAGAGGACATGTTCTTCAAAAGCTGCCAATTTTACACGTTCTGTGTTTGGAAAAACTATCAAAGCATTTGCCAAGAAGATAGGTTGTCCATTTTTCAAGCTATAGCATCCATCTGGCACAACTGCAGTGCAGAACAGGATTTGATGTACAAAAATGTACATATCAAAAGTTTTTCACTAGTGTACTTGATTGGTATTTTAAGCTGTCTGTATTTCTTATGGTACGGTACATTGAAATGTGCCAGAACTAATCAAGAGGACCATTGATCAGATAAAACTTCAGAGAGCTTCAGTACCCCCTGGGTAGTTTAATAGAAATTTCCACTGGTGGCGTATTACAGAGGTTACATCAATTAAATCAGGGTAAGATAGTGTAAACACTAGTTTCCCTTTTCTCTGTGTACCACCTCTTTTCATTAAAACATTTTAACTGTTATGGTACCTTTATCACTTTATTTCCTTATGAGTTGAAAGAAATTTTAACTACAATTACAATGACATAAGACACAATAAGTCACTAACCATACTGTTACATAAGACAAACTTTAAAAAAAAAAAAGTTTATTGTTTGAAGTAGATTTTCATGTTTGTTTTGTTTAAAAAGAAAGGGAAAATAAAAGAGAAATAAAATAAAGGTACACAGTGTTTCTGATCAGATATGCTGATCATGAATGCAACAAATCAATGAAATGTTAAATGCCAGGAACACATTGTACTTGTACATAACAATTTTTTAAAATTAATCATCTTTCTGTTTCTTCTTCTTCTTAGATTTCTTTGTTTTCTGCTCTATCTCCGTAGTGGTGTCCATCTCTGTTACAGAAGCATCTTCATCATCTTTAGATTTCTTCTTCTTCTTGCTTTTTTTGGCCTTTAGACTTTCATCCATTGTAGTGTCAACTTCAGTCAGTGACGTGTCATTTCCAATGTCATCCTCTTTCTTACTCTTCTTCTTTTTCTTCCTGGCAGGCTCATCTTCTCCATTGTCTACGATGACTGATGTTTCCAAACCATTGGCTTCTTTTAACTTGCGCTTCTTCTCTTTCCTGTCCTGTTTCTTAAGCGCCTTGATTACCTTCACTTTTGCCACTTCAGCCTAAAGAAAAAAAATACCAAAAAGTTCATAGATATTAAAATATAATAATATTGATGTGAATCAGAACCTGCACTAAGATTTTTTTTTTAAACTGGTGCCAACAACCAGTATTATCTGTACATCATACAGAAGCTTACACATGTTCAATTCAATATTCAAAGAAAATTATTAAAGAAAACTTACCTCTTGGACAGCTATCTTCATGACATCAACATTTTTAGCTGGATTTTCACCAGTTTCATAAAACTTGAGCCTGTCTTCAACTTGCTGTTTTAAATGTTCTCCAATGACAGAAGTTGGGACATCTGAACAAAATTAATAAAAAATAATAAATAACCCAGGATGAAAGCAACTTTAATATTTAATTCATTTTAAACAGACTAAATTATTTTGTTTAAAATGTAATGAGAAATTCCACAAACCTGAGAAGTTATCTACTCTTGATGCTATGGAGCACTTATTTGCCAAATATCGAGAGATGCGACCTTTATTTTTTGCTCCAGCTCGACCAATGAATGTGGAGTGAAAGATGAGACCATATTTTGGAGTGTTCCCTCTTGTCTTAAGAGCTCTAATATAAAAAACAAAAAACCATTCACAAGAGTAGCTAGAACTATTTACCAAACAACATTATTTTTAACATATAAAATTAAAAATGATTACTGGTAAAGTGCATAAAATTTGCACAAGAGAACATAATAAAAAAAATAATTGCCTGAATAAAGCCTTCTCTGCTCCAAGTATCTGCACTGTTGAAGCAGGGTACTTTGCCAGATTTGTAAGACTTCCAGCATGTGAGATTAGACGTGCACCCACCTATTAAAAGGACAGAAATGTTCAATATCTATAATAAAAATAAAAAGTACACGAAAGAGCTATAAAAAAGCTTTTGAGCATGAGATTATCTTTGACTATGATCATTAAAGCCTTGTAGCTAATAGACATAATGTCCCGATATAAATGTGAGGAAACTGTCTATATGATCAAATAACATTATCAATGATCAATTACAACAACCTTGTAGCCATAGTTTTTTTATAATATTAATTATTAACTATTTTGTATGGATAAATTTACAGGCATTCATTGTTGCAATCTTTAAAAAGCATGTGTTTAGAAAAATGAGTTTTATTATGAATTTTTCAAACACTTATTCTCCAGAAAATTATATTGTATACATTGTATATCGGGGTATTGTATACATTGTAAGACACAAAAATAATTAACTATGGTACAAATTTTTAAGATTATTAGAAAAAACAAAGACTGACAAGTCATAAATACTAACTTGTTCACCAATAAGAGCAGCAAGATTAGGAGCCACACTCAGCATCTTGCTATGTAAATATTCTGCCAATGACCGCCTATACTCTGTTAAGCTGATCACTCGCTTTGCAAACATTTGTATGTTCATCAAATCAATCGCACCAATGTCTATTCCTATAATTATTATAAGAAAACTTTATCAAATTAAAAAAATAAACAAGAAAAAAATATTAATATTGAAAGCTACACAGAGAAATTATGCCTAATTTTTTAAAATAGAAATAAATATATAAAAAAAAGAATATTAAAAAAAAAAATCACCCATTGATGACTTGGCAGCCTCAAAAATAGCCTTGACTTTAGCACTATCCATTACGACCTCCTCAATGGCATCTTCCATTTCAGGCTGTAATTTAGTGCGGTCACCAATCAAGTTGGTTAGACGAGCAAACATGAAATTGTCATTCACTATTTTAACCAACTCTGGAAAGTGATATGAATACCATTCCCTGAAAGAAAAATAGTGAGCCATACAAAAAAAAATTCACATAATAAATTGCTAAAAGATCTTTCTTGACCTCATAATACGTACTTAACCTGAACCTTAGAAAACTATTAATATTTATGGTCTTTATCATTATACACTTTCTGCAAGATATAAAAGAAATACCGACTTCAGTGATGGTTAGAAAAAAAAAAAACTTGTGCATAAAGTACATTACAAGTACCGATACAAAACAACATCATTTTATGAAACAAGTCTTTTTATTACTTTAGGAAAAGTATCTAATCAGGTACGGTACCAAAAATATATCCTATCAATCTTTCAAGAATCAACAAAAATAATTACCTGTATAATAAATTTTAAAAGTTTCTATTACATTCTTTTTCTTTTTCTATTATGTTTACAAAACTACACTAAATAAATAAATATCTATGACTTGGGGAAAAGTCTAAATACAAGTATTACAAAACTTAACCCTTTACAGTCCAAACCTATTCAGCCTTGTCTACTCCCAGCGCCCAAGCAAAGGGACATAACTCCATTTTAAATGAAGGTTCTTTATCTAATTAATTTACAGAAAATAAACTACAAGCAACAAAATAAAAAAAAAAATACCTAAATACAAAGAAATGATTAAATCAAAAGTTAAACCTAAAAATAGTTTCAGAGACCCTCCCACTCATGAAATAGTGTAGCTTCATTAGGCCTAAGTTCTTTCAAAAGTGTATCCAAGGCTTAGATAGCCATTTTTTACAGCGAAAAAATCGCGACTTTTAAAAAAAATCACAGAAAATCAGCCCCTAAGCACACCGCGGTCAAACCAGTATCAAAATAAATGCCGACAACGAGGCTTTCTTCCGGTAGAACTATAAATAGTAATGCGCAATGGATTTCCGCTGTGCTAAGAACGAAAGTAAACAACCTCGTAACGGGCGGGTTTGGCCGCATCGGACTGTACGCTTAAGGAAAAAATCGGCGCATTTCGGGCGCATCGGACTGTAAAGGGTTAAAGACAAAGTGGGGGTCATGTCATTTCTTGTTTGTAGCCGTTATGTAGTAAATGTAACAGAAATGAGTATTTATGAAACCAATTTGTATGAAGGAATATTATTCGAACTGAAGGTACGGTAGTTCAAAATGAAATTTGTTTCACATAGTGAAAATAAATTTTTTGGGGGAAGATGTGAGTGAGAAATGGGGAAACGTCAACCTTTTAATAACATTCTTATTTCTCTTATCATTATTTCCGTTCAAACAACATTCCTTCAAACAAATTGGTTTTATACTTATTTTCTGATACAGTGGTGTATGGAGTGCATAGGGACTGGAATAAGTTATCCCGTTGGACTTGATCATTTCATAATACAATACTACTAAACATGTTTATTTTAAAATTCCATTAATCTGAATTTCATGTTAAACTTCAGAACAATGATCTGCATACTGACTCCACTGTGTAGATCCACACTGCATTTTCTACTTACTACATGTGGTAAAAATGAGTAAGTTATAAAATTAAGTATGGTACATACCTTATTCTCATGGAGAAAGTGTTTACATCTTTATCTAGTTGGTCCAATAAACTAATGCTCTGTATGATCATATTATCTACTCTATTAACATTAAACTTCACTTTGTCTCTGGAATAACTGTGTCCAAGACCCAATTGGGCTTTACCAGCAGTTAATTCTGTCAAAGCATTTATAAAGTGTGGGAAATGGGTACGAATACCTGAAAAAAAATTATAAAAGAGTGAGTAAAAAAATATTTGAGTTAAATAGATTGGCGAGTGTGTTTGAGACTACAAAGAAACTATTAAGTATTAAAGTAAAATCCTTTCTAAAATCTTTATTAACTTCACATTCAGTCAATTTTGTTTTCAAATAATATTTAGCAATCTTAACCCCAGTATTTGTGATTATCAAAGGAAGAGCACAATGAAGAGAGAGCAACAAAAAAGTACACAAGTTTATAATCCATAAGTCAACATTTTTTTTACCACGCATAAGCTCTAATACAACTCCACTATGTTGACAAGAAATGTGAAGAGTATCTGATATAGCAGCTCCAATTTTGGCATCTCCAACTCCAAGAATAACTTGAACTTTTTTCTTGGGGGCAGGAACCTCTTTCTCTAAAAATGCTTGTAAATCTGGATGCAACTCTCCTATTATGTATTTATTAAGGAAAGAAAGTGTTAGTGTTTGTGAACAGTTACCCTGATAACTATGTTTTGTCCTACATTATCACGAAAATATTGAGTGAATTAAATACTCTAAATACAAAACTATTACTAAAAATTTGTTAGAAGCAATCTTTTAGCACAATAGCAGAAGATCGGGCTTTTCATAGCGATGTAGTGCTTCAGTAAGTTACTGCTGTAAAGTTTTGGTTAAAATCCAAATCTTTCATGGATACAAAGATTAAGCTTAGTAACATTTCATATCCAATCATATAAATGTATAGAAATATAACTTAACAAACCTGCAGCAATTGCATTAATGTTATCCAATGAATTAGGCCCATTTCTGAAGGCCTGAAATGCAGAAAGCTTGACAACTGACTGAAACTTGCTAATGTCAGTAACACTACTCTCCACCTGTGGCAGAAATGTAGCTACTTCATCAAATTCTTTTACAGAGAACAATGCATATCCAGCAGCATGTTCAAACAGGATGTATAGAAGTTTACTCTGTTGAGTGTATATAAAAAAAATAAGATATGAAAGTACAATATGGACAGTGATCAATGACAAATTATATACATATCTATTCATGTAATATACACCATTATACGCATAGAGAAACACCACCAGAAGAATTAATTTTAATGGGGGATCTTATCATTATCAATGTGTATACCACCTCCTTCAAGGCAGCTCACTGAAGTTATTCCAGTGAAAGTGGGGGAGGCGGTTCAATTATTTTTATTGCAGGCGTAAACATGAATTTACTTTTGAATTATTCTACACTTAAATGTAGAACAACAAGAAATTCTTTTGGAAAAATATGTTATCATTTCCTTGCTGTGATTATATAAATCCTTTAATTTTAGTAGTTGGTAAATAGTAAAATATTTTGAGATACTTATTTCTATCTATTTTTTTTAAAATCAACCAAGAAATGATTACATAACTTCACAAAAAGCTTTATGTATACATGTTATGTGCATTTATGAAAACACAAACAAGAGCTAAATGAATGAAGACATAGCTTCATTTGCGAGGAAGACATAACTTCATTAGCTATACATCCGGTGGTTCACAATATTTAATGTGGCGAGCCATGGGACATCCCCTCCTGCATTAAGCATTCGGGCTTGATTTTTTACCCAATATCCCGTAACATGTGAACAAATTATAGACTAATAACTACAGAAAGTTGTATTTGGAGAGGGGAAAAGAAGAGCTGGAAGCAAACTGGGTTAGTTTTCTCAATTTTCACGAAATCATTATGTTACAAACTTTAGTCATACAACAACGAAGCAAACAAAAGAGAGTGCTGACGAAATTTGTCACTAGGTTGATTTTTCTATATATTATATACTGTTGCCGTATCTATCAAGCAACAATATATTGATCATCCACCTATCATGCACACCCCAATGCTCCTAAATCAGCATCACGCTTCACTTACCCCTTTCAGTGCTACCAACTATAATCATAGATGGCCCAAAAACCACTCAAATGTCTCAGTCTATTCAACACTGGATGTAGAAAGGAGTAAAACTAACAACCGAAAATGTAGTATATATTTTTTTTATACAAGAATATATTTTTAGTCAACCTGGACTCCTAAAAGCGTAGTGCTGATAAGTCTCATGGAGTTCTATCAACATGTAAAAATACTAGACAGCATGAAAACATAATAAAACAAATCAAATATTGTCAACCACCGGATAATATCGCAAATGAAGTTATGTCTTCATCGCAAATGAAGTTATGTCATGTCTTCATCGCAAATGAAGTTATGTCTTCATTCATTTAGCTCTTGATAGAACTCCATGTTGTTCTCCTATTAAACGTTGGCATTGTTGAACTAACCTTGATGGTTGCCTCTGCTGCTTAATATCTTCCTTGTGAAGTAGCTTACCAATTTAATATTTTCAACATAATAAACCAAATCAAATTTTTCTAGTCTAGGATTTAAATTGAGGATATTTGGCTGTTACACCCTCCTTCTTATCCCTCCTTGATATATGTGGATATGTGTTTGGTTTTAGAAATGGGACATTTAGGCGTGCCGAGAGACTTTTTCGGGAAACCGGGTACGATCGTGGACAATCCCGTATTTACGGGACGTTTGGTCAACCTAAGGTAGCTAGCCTAAAGTTTAATTTAACTTCTGGATATTATTTCATATTTTTTAATTTCTTAGTTGTCATTGTAAAAGAAAAAAGTATAATTAATTGTTATGACCAAGAAAATACTTACCATTCTCTGGTGTGATGGTTAACAAAATTTAGTTTAGGTATACACACGTGTAATACGCCATATTTTGTTGTCAGTAAATTAACGATGCCAGATAGTAGTCCGAACTGATTGTAAAATTTCAGTTTACATATATAAAATCTGGCAAGTCTTGGTCCTCCAGATTTTATATCTTCTAAGAGGTTAGTCCTCCAGATTTTGTATCTTCTAAGAGGTTAGTCTTACTATGAATTAGTGTAATGCTAAAACACATACATTTTAAATACGTTTTTCAGAGATATTAATTTTTTTATATTAATAATTAAACATTGAATTTGAAGTTTAAAAATACATATTCATCAACTTTGAAAAAAAAAAAGTTTCCTATTAGACGCAGAACAAGGGAACGAAGTTTAATATATTTTTTTACTGTACTTCACGCAAAGATGTACCAAAGACATTACTTACGGCGAAAACTTAAAAGTAGAAACTTTTTTTTTTTAATATTTAAAGTATGATAATTCTTTGTCCGAAAGTATGATAATTCTTTTTCTGACTCACCAATTTTGCCCCCTCTTTTAGGAGGCGCCCAATGCATGTGTGTGCTATTTCTTGCCACACTCTTGGTACACCTCTGCTTACCCGCTAAAGTATTTCAGCGTTTTCCGAATGCCAGGTGGCATCTCGGTATATTACGACGAAAGCAAAAATAACGAGTCGCGAAAATATTATTGAAAAAAAAAAAAAACTAGCCTTGAATCAGGGCTAGCAAGGCGAATATTTTTCTGGCTCATTGTTCACAGCACATTAGCCTGATTAGCCCAAACAATGGCACGTCTGCTATCCCCTTTGTTGCGCTACAATTATGTTTAGAATTATGAAACTAAATTCAGTGCCTTCTTCTTCTATATCTTAAGGGCCCACGATCAATTTATTGATCATTTTGGCTCCTATGCATGTAGATTGGATTAGCAATATTTCTGTTCCTGGTGTTGATGAGGGAATTTCACAGATTTCCAGTGCCACTTTGTGGGGGAATCATGCACTAGGGGTTTGAAGGCTTGAGGCAATAGACACAAATGTGTCTAGTGTTGTCGCCTCAACCTTTCCTTTTGAAAGATTGTTCCAGTCCCTGATTGTCTTGGGCAGGATTGAGCAGCTCCTATACTGGCTTCTCGCTGGTATGAGCCTGAATTGCCTGTCATGGCCTCGTCGCTGTCTATGGGGGAGAGGTCACCACTGGGACTAGTTAAGATATATCGGATTATGTTTTATAGATATAAAAATGTTTAGAGTTAAATTGCTTGAATATTTTAATTGATTTAAAGTCTGGTTATTTTCACATGTAATTGGAAAATAACTAACAAATAATGCCACGCTTTGTAAATAGATTTGAAAAACAATCTATAAAATATATTTTTAAAAAATCACCATTATTTTTCGCAAAAGTGCCTCGTACCATTTTTACGGTCCTGATATTTATTATATATTTTTAATGTATAATAAATATCAGGACCGTAAAAATGTATATCCTATTATATATATTCTATCAATACAATTTATTTATTCAAAGTTTAATAAATAATTACTCCAATTACTGTATTTAAAACAGAAACAAATGCAATTTGACTATATTTATAAAGGATATCATAAAAAGTGATATTTATATCTTCTTGTCTTCTATATAGGTATTAATTATATTAAGGGCCTACAATCAATGTATTGATCATTCTGCTCCTATGATATTTGTATATTGGACATCCAAAAGTTTTTTTTTATGGCAACCTAGTTTTCTATTTCATGTAACTTATTTCTAATAATATAATTTATAATTAAACATGTAAATGATTGCTTAAAAAAAAGGGACTTTAAAGAATAGCAGCGACGGGGCTATGCTCCCGTCTCATCACACATATGGCGATTCCCCCACCCCACGCCAAAACCAACTCTTTGGTTTGCATCCATGATTTATGAGTCATTATCTTTATCTACTTTCTGTCTCAATTAACACCAATTATATTATTTATTTTACCATTTAGTTATTCGTTTTACCAATTATGACTCATGTTAAATTATAATCTGCCCTAAATGGCAATGTGTTGTCCAGATTTAGCGGCTAAATAAACTAACCAATTGTCCTTATTTCACATTTTGGCCGACATAGCCTGAAGGAAAAAATTGTGGGAATTTACTACACAAGAATTGTTTTTTGTTGGCGCCAACTATGAAGAATACTGCATATTAAATTATTTTGCAGACGCAAAATAACGTATCTATTTCTCGTCCTTGCAAAATGGAAAAATTTATTGAGAACCAACCCCCTGTTAAGAAACTGAAGCAAGGTAATTGGGTGCAACAGCCGTTTTGTTGTTTGTGGAATGAATCAAGGCTTAGAAAAGTCTAGTTAACTAACTAAAAACAAGTTACAAGACTTGTTTTGAGTTGATGTGTGATCAGTGATGTGCCTTAGTCTTGACGTTGCGTTGTCTAGATACAACTAAAACAAAGTAGGGCACTACTATCCTCTGACACTAATGTGCTGGCCTAAATAAACTGCAAATTCAAATTTTCAACCAACAGATGGGGTTTGGCTTTTAAATTAACTTACACTTTTTAAGTCGTTTATCCTATTTTTGGTTCATTTTCTTTGCAGAAAAAAAAAACCCAGCATTATTTTTGTCAGTATGACTTTATTATGCTAGAATGTAAACAAATTTACACTTAACTCAAGTCTTTAAGTCTAGTATTAGTAAAGCTACATTCACTTGATTCACCCTAGTTCATTTCCAATAATTTTTAGATTGACACAATAAATAAGAATCTGATTATAATATATTATTATAAATTATTCAAACCTATAAATAGGCCCACTAATTACTAATACTAATACTAATATAAAAAATTTTTGGGGGGTTATCAGCTAGGCCAACGATGTATTGCACAGTTTAGGCATAGGCATAGGTCATGGAGGGATCAACTTCTGTCTATAGTCTTTCGCCTTAGCCTGCAATGTATTCAACTTTGGTTGGGGGGAGGGTCTCTCTGAAATGTTCTGTGAATTGATAGAATCAGAATTCAGTTCATACAGGCACTTTTTTCACCGGTGTTTATCTTTGGATACCAGTAAAGATGTGTTTCTTTTTTCATTTCTTTTGTTACCTGTAAGTTGAATTTTAATAAAAATGAATGGAAAATTTCATTTCAATATACAATACTTAATTAATAATTATACTTCATATTAATAGTATTGATCATCAGATTTAACAGATTAGCTACCAGATTGAAAAACCAGCTGTGGCCGAATTAAATCTAGATCTCACATTTACTAATATACAAACAATGGCGCTACCAGCAGCTTGTGGCCATAAGAAAGAAATGCCCAGCCGCTCCCACAGGCTCATGGTAGTTAACCAGTTAGTTAATGACGCGAGTAATGCTCATGTGAAGAACGGGAAGGTTATCATTACACTTTGTTCAGTTCCAATGATTAGATACTTTTGTCAAAAATGTAAACATTTTTTAAAAATAAACCAATGGTACAGTTGAATAGAGCTAATTTTAAACAGAATTATAACACCAAAATCATATTTTTAGCTGTTGTAGTTTTAAAGTTATGAATTTTTAAAGTACGACTTGGTTTGTCATTTTTTAACATGGACTTCATCTCCACATTCTGTGACCTCATTCCACTGATCGAGTCATGCGCAATGACTATATAGTTTATATAAGGCAACGCATTCCCTATCACTAAAATACTGTTTAGGGTCGACTTATTTTAAACTTTCAACTTTGGCACATGAATAATTAATAAAAGCTTTCCCTGACCAATGGTTTAATAGCTTTTGCACACGGCAAACTCTTATGAATGAAACTCTGAGATAGTACTACGACGTAGCCGTTATGCAAGTGGCTGTGAATGGTTGCCAATGACAACGTGTTGCACAGGGAAAATTCTGATCATTTATAATATGGACTCTGCAGGGTTTTTAAAGCTCAAATTAAAACATTTCCAGTTTAAATGTCTTCAAAATGCATTCTGAAACACAAAATATAAAATATTTTGATGTATATAGTGGTAATAATTAAATATTTCCTAAGTATCGGCAACTTCCGCCATTAAAAAGGGGGCGTGGCCCACGCCATGTCGAAATTAGGCTGAGCCACCTTATGGTGATATGGGTCACTGTGACAAGTGTAACAAACGTGAGACACGACCTACATCAATGAAACTTGGCACAGATATAGATCAATATCTAATGCTCATACAGATTTAATCAAAAAGGACCTTATCTTATTATTTCACAAAAAATTTTGTATGCGAAGATGCCTTATATATACCAAAGATTTTCAAAATAAAGGTCGATTGAAAAAAGCAAAATAGCTGGCTAGAAATGTAGGCCAAGATGTCTTCCAAATTATAAGGCCGGAAACGGAACTCAAATATATGTGGAAAGAACTAATTTAATAATAAATAGACACACACATCGGAAAATTAAAAACTCGGATTTTTCGGCGCCGACAGCCATTTCCGATACAAAAAAAATAGTAGTCTCCCTTGTTTCATCGAAGTATCTACAATGATTTGTCTATTCATAATTCACTTCAGTATTGGGATTCCTCACTGCGGCTTAGGGTGAGACAACTCTTGGTAAAACACATAACCCTCACCCAAAATTTACCAAAAACTGTACTATGACTATGCTATATGATACTAAATAGGCGTATTTGCTATATAATTGTTAGGGGTTATTTATAGGCCCTATCCTTTATATAGGTAGTGTATGGTGTTTACCAGGTAGGGGGGCAGTAGTCTCAGTTGGCTTAAAAATTAAGTGGAAAAGCTTAATTACTGTCTTGCTATCAATTTACTCAACTTGTTCTATACTCTATTTTTCAGCCTGCTTAATTCTCAAGGCCTAGTTCATATCTTTTTCCAAATTCATTCATTTATTAGATACAGCTAATCTGTTTTCATCATCATTCATTTTTCTACACTCAATCTTCAAGAATACCAGCAATTAAAATAGTATGCTCTATGGGCAACACTTATGATTTAAAAAAAAATCCTATTCTTTTTACAGCTCCCCTTTTAATTTTAGAAGTACCTAGGCCAGG